TTATCTGAGAAATTATTTCTGATTTCATTTTTTCCAGATCCTCTTTTGTTGCCAATTCAGGGAGTCCAGGTGGTTGAGTTTCAGAGTGTTCCATCTCATTTCCCTTTGGAGTTGCTGTAGGTGATTTGGAAGTCTGGTTTTGAGGCTTACATTTCAACGGGTGTGTGTGTGTGTGTGTGTGTGTGTGTGTGTGTGTGTGTGTGTATGTGTTGCTGGTGCCTGTGTGGGTCACCTCCTCTGTGGTGGGAGAGGTGGTATGGTGGTCTGGATCCCTCCTCTGCCACAAAGGAGGGCCACCAATGCAAAGTCCTAGGGCACCTTCCTGAATCTGTCAATTAAGTGTAGAAGTCTTTTGGGGGAGCTTTTTGGGTCTTCTATGTACAGTATCATATTGTCAGAAAATAATAACAGTTTAACTTCTTCCTTTCCTATCTTTATTCCTTTTATTTCTTTCTCTTGTCTAATTGCTGTGGCCATGTTGTTTGTTTTTAAAAGAAGTCTCTTATTATTTGAATCAAAGGATCATGTCATCCCTTACTCAAAATGACAACTTCAGTGTGGCTTCTTTGTCAACGCCATGTGAGACAATTTTCTTTCTCTACCAGATTATATTTGTCAAACTTCAAAAGGAGAAATAAGCTCCATAGACAATTGTTACAGTTGATCTTAGGAAAAAGAGAGAGGAGGCAACATTTAAAAACAATAACAAAGCAAAACCACTCAGGGTACTCAATGGCTAAATGAAATTTTACCTGAATTAAGTGTTCAAGGTCTAGAAAGTATACCAAAGATTATATAGAATTCATCTTCCCAAATCTGAAAGGAGTACAGTGTTATTGGTTTTACACATGGATTTAAAAGAAATGTGAAGGGTCATAAGAAATGCTGTTAGAGAATCTTACCAAATTTTTTGAGGATAGACGCAACTTCATTATTTCATTAATTTTGGGGAGCCCTTGGTTAGAACAAGCAAAATGTTTCTCCATAACATCTATACAAAACAAAAAATGAATATTTTAGTTACAGATAGAAGAATTTCCATTAAAAGTGCCATATTTTTCAAACTGATGAAAATTATTTTTTAAGAATAAGAATATAGTTATATATTTTAATTTCATTTTACTGTAGATAAAATATAAATCTTCTGTTTTTTGTTTTTTTAACAATACAATATCAAGACACAATAAAGGAAGGTCAGGCCATAGTATTAAGATTAAAACATACCACATGTTAAACCATGATGCAAATATACATACATATATGGAAGTATATATATTAATACTGGGTTGAACACAGGGCTTTAACACTGATAATCCTAGTCCTTTTTAATTATAACATTTACAATGCAAAGCTGTGTTTTGAAGTTTTAAGTGCTTGGAGAATGGCTTGAATTATAACCAAAAAAGTCTTAGGACCAGCCCAAATACTCAGCAAAGGACATAGGAAGAAGTAAGTCAAGGATTGGATTCAAATAGAAAGTCAGGGCACGTGTGGTGGCACATTCATATAATTGTAGCAGCTGGGCCTCAAGTTTGAGGTTAGCATGAGCTACACAGCAAGCTGTGGGTGAGCCTAGATTACACAGGGAGAACTGTTCTCAAAAGAATGAATGAATGAATGAATTAATTAATAGGAGATAAAAAATAAATTTACTTTATAATTTCATATTGTTCATTCATTCTGTTGGTACATTATGATTTCAATGCTAGTCTTAAAATTCTATGCATAAAAATTCTATGCATAAATATATCTAAGCAAGTATCACAAATATGGCTCAAACTATATTGGGAGTGATAATGTTAACAGGTCTCAAATATTTTCAATCACACATTCATTCATTTTGCCCATCCTTGACAGTGCTACCAGACTTGATTTTTAAAGCTATATTTGATTCTATAGTCCAAATCATTCCTCTGTTTAAAAAATCTTCACTTATACACCATTATCTAATGAATAAAGTCCTTGTATGAAAAGAAGATAAGCAGAAGGAAACTAATTCCTTTGAATAACATACATTGAGTCAGCTACTGGTTTAACACATCATATTATGACATTTCCACAATACTTTGTGCTTTCTGTATCACTGTCCCCTTTTTAAAGAAGAGAAAAGCAAGAGTAAGGGTGATTGAGCTCAAAGGTGATATATTCCAAGTCATAACAGCAAGTCAGATGGGAAGCAACAGTCTTTTCTCTAATGATCTTTTTCTCTTTTGTCAGATAATTTTCAACAGGGAAGGTCCTTTTTCAAACTGTCCTGCACAAAATCTATACTCCAGCCTCTCTAAAATGCTCATGGAGTTCTGTCTACTACCATTTTCTGTCTCAAATTTTAACTCATTTTAAGATCTAGTTCAAATAGAAGCTTTTTATAACGCTGGTCTCAATAAAACTGATTGGTTGGTCTCTTCCACTTTGGTATTGTTTTATGAATTACTGGGTCATATCACCAAGCTCCTTTGAGCTTGGATGTTAAAAAGAGGCAGGAAAAACCATAGGAAATATTGTGGCAAGAAACAGAAGGAATTCCCAATTTCTGTACTTTTGCCTGCAAGGATCCCTTTGCCTAGAAATTTTCAGACTACAGAGTTTGCTAGATTCTGTTTTAAACAACAAAATGAAAAAAAGAAAAAAAATTGTGAGCCATTAAAGGAGTCAGAGAAGTTACATTTTAAAGGTCTGACTACTTTAACATAAATCATGGCATAAAGGGAAAACATACAACTGCTGAGGGAATGTTTGCTCTGAAAGAATAAGAAAATTACTCTGAGCCAAATTTACAGAAACAGTGCTATTTATAAAATGCATTTATTATTCATAGTTAAATTATAGCAATGAAGTTGAAGCTAGAAGCAGAAAAATGTCTCTATTTTTCTCCATAAATACACTTTACATAATGAATGCTATTTTAGGGGATCAGAACATGCCACTCTGTAAATAAGCCTCTTTGACATATCAAGTATTTCAATATGAAAGCGATTGAGAAACAGCAGGTGTGGGGATGGGAGAGCCCTGTTATCTACCATCTAAAAGCAGAACATAAATTTCTCATGAGAAATGTGCTCTACCTGTACCTTTCTTATCACCAGATATGAAGAGCCAACACAGAGATGAGTCTACACAAACACACTTATAAAATAACACTTATCTTCCACTAATATATGTATGTTTATTTCCTGGTAACTTTCCCACTAAAATCCCAATTTACTGCTTTGTATGGTATATAAACCCTCAGGTTTAATAACTTCTTTAGGTATTTTATTTCTTTCCAGGAAGCCCACCATGTTATGCAAAAATATTAATCATGTTTTTTCTTCTATTAATCTGTCCCTTGCTCAATTCATAGCCCCAGCCACAGAATCTAACAGAGTAGAGGAAAAATCTTTCCTCTCTGAGGCTGTCATATTAATGTAAACTATAGTTACGGTATTTTATTCTCCTACCCAGTAATCTTAAATAACTTCCCAGCATTGACAGATTAAAGCTCAAACTCCTTAGCCTGACATTCTAAGGAATGTTAAATATCTCTATGATATGCACCAGCTTCCCATATTTCCAGAATATTTTACTTGTATCTTTTCATTCTTGTCAAAGTGAACTATTTACTGATCCCTTCATGTAGTCTGTGATTTCCTACCTCCATAATGCTCACCATGCACCTTGGTGTTGTCTCTTCTCCATATGTGCGTATGCACATATTACCCATTTGGGGACCTAATGGATTGTTCTCTTTTGTACAAAGTCTTTCCTGACAAGCCCCTTCCCCACAGCTGGAAGGAACCACTCCTTTGTCTGAAATCTCTGAAGTCTGTGTGACTCTCCCGTCTTGGAATAGACCCATGTATGTGTCATATATTTTCTAGAAGAATGTAGGAACTAAAGCCAGGGTCATCCCAGAACTTGCATAACTCAGCAAGACATCTGTGAATAGACGATGTCTGAATCCTTCTATCCATCCATCCTGTCAATAATACTATGTTCCAGGCACCATTCCAGGATGCTGCAAAATCTAAAAAGTATGCACAAATGGGAGTGGATTTGTCTTGCTCCTTTATAAAATTTTTCTGCCATAAAAGTCCTGTTGACTAATTCAGTCAATATATTACTTTCAGAAAATTCTCCTCAATCTCAGTCTACTAGTGTGATAATTCAGTTTACAATTTATACTATCTAAAACCATTCATGGGTAAAAGAATTTTATGTCTGTCTTCAAATAATTAAAGTTTTGCAAATATAGAATCATCTTTAAATGTTAAATATTCTATGTTTTATAAGTGATTAAATACTACAGCAAGAGGTAAATATTTTGTCTTTTGTACATACAACTTAGTAACAATAGTTTCAAATGATGTTATTAGAAACTTATAGATCAGATAAGGTAAAGAAGAAATACTACAGGAAAAACATTTTAACTATAAATGAAGAAAGGATATAAATAAGAACTCTTGAGTAGGGAAAAGAAAATAATAGATGATTACCTTTATCATATACCATTCCTGATGAAAATTCCAACATATTCAAAAGCAAAATTATAACATATATAAGTGGCGATTCCATCTGTTGGAATAAATAAGAATTATTTCCTTTTAATTACTCTGGACATATTTTTGAGTTACTTTTGCTATCAGCAACTATAAAGTTGTAGAGAAATCATCTCTTCAAGTTAAAAATACTTTCCACTATGTAACAAAAGTAGACAACAAGGCTGTAGATATAGCTCTGTAGTAGAGTGCTTTCCAGCATGTGCAAAGCCCTGGGCTTAATTCCCAGAACTGAAGGGGAAAAATAAAGCAGACAACACAAGAATTGACTAAGCTCTAAATTTATTCCCTAATTAACATTAAGGATATTTATAAATATAATTATGGAAAATTAGAAAAAAGAGATGGCTCAAGTTTTTCTTCAATGTAGATAACTATGGGAGAAATGAGATCAATTGTATAAGCTACATAAATAAGAATTTGAATTGATAAAGACTTTAACAATTATATAGTTGTTACTTGATTTAACATTTTGACTACATTGCTTTTGGGAAGGACAATCCATGATACTGGACATCCTTGCTGAGGATACTAAGAATACTAGCTACTGCTTTTGCTATAATGAAGACCCTTGTCCTGACTTTGGAGTCTTGTGTCTTTTGCCAGCACCTAAGAAAGCAGGCATAGACTAACTTTCCAACTTTAAGTAGGGTGAAATCTCAGACTCTGCAGTTCCTGATAACTGCTGAATAAATTAAACTTAACTGCTGTTTGTTTTCCCTCCCTCAAAATTGGCTTGCTTGATTAAATATACTTAATTAATGATAGAAGGCTCAAACATTTGTTAAATTTTTAAATTAATCATCCTTATCACATTGTCAAGGAAGGATTTCTTTTTCATCACATTTTTCAGACATCTGAGGAAACAACTTGCTATCACAAGGTAAAAAGAAACATAGGGGAACTGGAGAAGAAAAGAGGTGGGGGAAGGGGATTAAAAAAAAGAAAAACAGAAATAAGATGTGGTATATACATGTAACCATCTCCCAAGATGATTCTAAACTGCATGAACTGAAAACATGTGCTAATTAAATTTTAAACAAACAAGGTAAGAAGAAACAAACAGCATATTAAAGCAATATCATCATGGTGCTGTGCTCAATTATTTCTGGTGTAAAAATTAATTGGACATTAAATGGAGATGGTAGCACAGTTAAACTTCACAAATAGTGCCCTTAACAGAAGATTTTTTATATTTCCTAAATATTCAAATGAAATAACATAACATCATTATTAGAACCTGTCTCTTTTTCTCATCTCATTGACCAAAGTGCATTATGCTCCAGATCTCCAGTTTGGATGAACTATTATTAACTTATAAAAGTTGATCCAAATCTGTTTTCTCAAATAAATATATCTAATTTCTTTTACTGGATTTGACCAAGTAACTTAAAAGCTTACTTTGAAAGAATTTTAATGTTCATGAAGGAAAAGAAAATTGAGGGAGCTAATTCAAGGGCAAATGAACAGAGGTGATCTCTGGGCTCTCTGTGGCTTTGCTACTAGCTGTTTACCCTTTATTCTAGTAATTTGGCCTATATCCTTTTAATTTAGAGATGGAATGTGCTTGAGAGTTCACATATAAAACATTAAATAAACACACTCAAAGTTCCTTATTGGCTAGTGACAGAAATGGACTTAGAACCAAGATCTCTGGATTTAATAAATCTAGCCAGCATAGAAAGTTGCCACAAGATAAAAAAATTAAAAAAAGATATGAAATATATGATTATATTTGACCTAGTAAAAACCACAATGTTTGTCCAACATTACTCTGTTCCACACATATGTTAATTTCACGTTTTTCATTTTTTCTTCAATATCATAGCTTTCTCCAATTTGGCACTACGTCTGTCAACAGTCATCTCACTGTTAGAGAAAAGGCAGACCTTAGCCTTAGGTAAGGTCTATCCACTGAATTGTCTTTAATAAGTTGCTTCTGTGCATTCACTATTTAATAAACTGGGTGTAATAGCTACTTCACAGTGTTGTGAGAATTAAATGAAAAAGATGAATTAATGAATAATATCTGAGTTACTTTATATAGAATAATCACTTGATAGATATTACCTCTGAGTTCATATCCTTAATACTGCACCAACTTCTTATCTTTACATTCTCTACAGTTAGCAATTAGACAACTCTAGTTATCATTCCCCATTTAATTATTATGGGTTTTATGTAATTATCTTCTACAAGTCACACATCTGAGCATTTTTCCTTCTCTGGCACCAAACGGACACTGGAAAATGCCCCCCAAAAGGAACTTACCTCTTTTTCCATCTTATTCATTTGTGATTATTCCATTATCAAGGGATAATATTTACACTGTAGATTCATGTTATAGTAAGGCCTTTATTACCCTTTCTTGTTTGTTTCCTGCTAAAGAAGATAATAAAGCTTTGGCTGGAAGCAAGCTGTAAGTTTCAGTGACTGTGGCAGCACTGTGACCAAGCTGCCTCCTTAGACTGTGTCAGAATAGAAATGTCTAAACAAGGCTGACAGCCCTAAAGAAAATTACGAAGCAAGTGACACTGGTCTTCTTTTTCCCCAGCAAACTTTCATCTATTTTCTCTTTCTTATTTTCCCTGACATGATGTTTCCTCCCTTCTAAGGGTAAAAAGTGTGCTTTCAGTCACTGACTCATGAAGAACACTTTCATATAAATGAGCACCAAGAGTATTCCTAGCAGGTTGATAACCGTGGAACGAAAGGTGTTTTCCGCCAACAAACACATCAGGCTCTGTGCATCTAGTCAGGAGGTTTGGGAACAAAGAGTGGGGTAGGAATGAAAGAAAAATGATTTTGACATTTTAAAAAATATAATTTTGTCCTGACTTAAAAATTTGAGAAAATATTAAAAATTTTTGAAAAATACAAATATAGGAAAGTTAATTTTACATAAAACAACCAGATAAAAACTGACAATATGTTGACATTTCTTGAGCCTGTTCCCTCTGCATTTCTGTATTATATGCATGATTCTTCTACAGTATGTATAGCTTCACATTATTCTTTTAGTCAATGTTATTATGGCTACTTTCTCATGTAACTCAAGTGTTTTCTCAAAAGTTTTCACAGTTATGTATCTAAAATGACTATACAATTTACCAAACAGAAGACTTTCTTCTATTTCCAAAATTTTCCTGTATGAATAATGTGATAGTAAATAATTTTGAATAAAAATATTTGCCTCCATTTAAATGTATTTCTTTAGTATATGAACATGTTTAAGACTCATGATACATATCAGCAAATTGTTTTCCAGAAATCCAGCATTGAAAATTAGATATCTGTAAAACTTTATACATAAAAAAGTATCTCATTAGCTGAGTATAGTGGTACAACCCTAAAATCCCAGCACTCTAAGAGGCTGAGGCAGGAGGATCACAAGTTTGAGACTGGCCTGGGTAACTTTAGTGACTTAGTGAGACCTTATCTCAAAATAAAAAATAAAAAAAGCCTGGGGGTATAGCTCAATGCAAAGGCCCTGGATTCAATTCCTGATATGTGTGTGTGTGTGTGTGTGTGTATATATATATATATATATAGAGAGAGAGAGAGAGAGAGAGTTCTTATAGTATACACATATATTTATTATATACTATAAAGAAAT